TTTGTTCAAAACTTCATTCTGACTTTTTTATTTATTTTTTTAACAAAGGTTACCACATCAAAAATAGAGGCTGAAGATAGTGATGAGGCTGAGCGCAAAAAGGTTGAAAGATACCTTACAAGAAATGAGGAAAACATGGCAAAACAGCAACAAAGACAACAGCAACGGCAACAACAACAGCAACAAGAACAAGAGCAGCAGCAACGCCTACAGCAACAACGACAACGGCAACAGCTACTTCAAAAACAGCAACAGCAGCAGCAGCTTCAACAACATCAGCAGCAACAGCAACAGCAAAGGCAACAGCAACAAAAACATGAAGGTCTTTATCAGAATTTGCAACAAGAACAACAGAGCCAAAACTCACGGGAAATGTACCAGAGACTCCAACAACTCCAGCAACAGCAACGTCATCAGCAGCAACCACAACAACGTGGACAACAGCATCAATACCAACCTCATCAACCCCAACAAAGAAAATCTGATGAAAGATCTGAKAATACTCGACAGGAACGTCGTCCAAATGAACCAGRACACCAAAAGGAACGTACATATGAYAACGATGACTCCAAGGAAACCAATTCACAAGMGCAGCGATCACAAACAGGTGATAAACAGAAGAGGGAAATTGTCAAACAAGCTGAAGAGAAGCGTGGTGAGCGGTTTAGAAGACCCATTGGTAGACCAGGAGGAAGRGAAGCAGATGCGAGGAATCAGGCTGAGAAGGAGTCWCAAAACCGGGATGATAAGAGAGAGGAACAGCCTGCACAAGAAGGTAGGGTATKGTGGAAGTTCATTGCTTATCTTCAAGTAGATAATTTGTCACTGTTGATTGATTGAATGATGAAGTGATTGATTTACTGGAGTTATTGACAGATGCTGTGACGTTAGGGACTATAATCAATGATAACAAGAAATATGAACTGATAAGTAATTGCCAACTAAATAATTTCAGAAAATAATGAGGAGGAGGAGGAAGAAGAYGACAATGAAAATGATGAAAGAGACAACACAATAAACCAAGGTCAAGAGAATCAAGAGAAGWCACAAGAGGTCAAAAACCGTCAGAATCAACCTGACGACAGACAGAAAGACGGTGTAAATCCACATATAAGGGGATTGAGACATGCCTAAGACTACRGTTGCATCACTTTTGCATTYCCCTTGCCATCTTAAAAGGATTTTTTGGATTTATAGCAAAGCCAGGCCACCGGTGAGCTTGCTATGATAGATACAGGTACCTGTGAATAATTATTTTTGTCTTAATTAACCCTTGTCCTTTCAACAACTCCATAGTCGACATGAAATGCCAGGTATTTTTTGTCAGGTCAGTCAGCATGTGCTACAAAACATGACAGATATTTATGGTAAATGTTCTAAAAATGAGCAACCTTATCCYTACTTAATATATATACTAAGAACAAAGAAAATGTACCTAGTACCAGGAGCTCCTGCTAGTACTTATAATTGGCAGGWCTTGGGTTAAGTGTGACAAGGGTATCTATCAAAGCAAGGCCCTTATGTTTTTACGAAGACAACAAAAATACATTCAAAATRAAGCAGGAAAGTGGTCAAGTATTGGACACTAAATCTATTTATTTTATAGAGCAAAGCACWGAGAATTAATCAATAACTGTTTTGACACTGAATGTAGAAAGATAAACAATGAACTTAGAACAAGTCGTAGCTAGTTTGACATGATAAAATATTATCTTATATAGGCAATACATTTTTGCATCGTCATGTACAGTATAGATATGTAGTTTTTAAACTAAGTGTCAAAGTTTATCCATTCCCGTAATGATAGTGCAGTAAGAATTCCAGGAAATATTTATTATGCCTGGTATAATCTTGATATTTAATATGTAAYCAGGTTCAAAAGGCATTACCAGGTTGAGATCGCATTGTCTTGTTACTGTATATTAATTTCTTGTAACCGTGTATGGTGTATGAATGGCTCCCTAGCATATTCCCCGAGTCTTCCCCGAGTCAACCTGCCTTTTCAATTTGTCTAAGATTTTTTTTGAGAATTTGATCTTGAAACTTTCAGAGACATACATTATACACAGATAAAGATACAATATTTAAATGACCTTCTACTTGGAATTGTAAACGGAAATTATTGTAATATTGTTAGAAACACTTACACATCTCAAAGTCAGACTAGTTTAATGCTTACGTTTTCACCAACAAAGGCAAGGGAGTTTAGAACAACCATTTTCGTCTCTGTTTGCAATGAATAATATCATCAATCAATTTTTATAACAAAATGTCCACATGACTAAAAAAAATATAGAATAAACAATGAGTTCTTGTTACAATAAATAAAGAGATTTGAATTGCAAGAGTTGTAGTCCTCCGGATGTTTATAATTATTTTATTATTATTATCTTAGTCACCATGAATTTAATTGAATCCCTGAAACTATTATTCAGCCGGCAAAGAGAGACGTCATTGAATCCATGATTTTACTTTTTTGTTTTCAAGAAAGGGAAACACAAAGGAATTAAGTCTTATAACTTATTGTGTTATAACTTATCTTGGGACTAATACAGTTGTTAAACAACTACCATTAGACAACAAGTAGTCTTTGTTTCATGGATTTAATGCCATCACTCTAGTTGAATTGCTATGTAAGTTCTTGAATTGAGGCCATCAAGTCTTTCTTCAAATAACTTCCCTGTTGAACTGAACCAGTAGCAGCAACAATGTCTGCCATTATGYTTGCATCCCAAGCAAAATTGACTACGGCAGCAGGAACCTTAAACACAAAAAACTGACTTAACAGGATGCTAACTGGTTGTAAACAAGTATTAAACCAGTTTTAACAAGATGCCAACTTGTTGCAAACAAGTATTAAACCAGTTTTAACAAGATGCTAACTGGTTGCAAACAAGTATTAAACCAGTTTTAACAAGATGCTAACTGGTTGCAAACAAGTATTAAACCAGTTTTAACAAGATGCTAACTTGTTGCAAACAAGTATTAAACCAGTTTTAAGAAGCAAACTGGTTTGTCTAGAATCAAATAGTTTTTAATACTTACAAGTCCTAATTCATGGAGTGTAGATTCCTCTTTTGTTAGTTGACCAGTTGGCTCACTCAGCACAAATGGCTGCCAGTCTGATTCTAGTGATTCACGAACAAATGAAAACACGTTTCGAAGCTTTTCGTGTGTGTAAAATGTTCCTGTAGATAAAAACATCAGTTAACTCACGGTGACAATAATTATTAGTTGTTATTAATGATTATTGTCCATAATGGCAAAGCCTCACCTTGTAGGATAGTTCCGTCTGGAAACCTCACCCTAATCAAGGTGAAGCGATAACTTTTATTTGGTTTCTTCTCTGCTTCTCTCATTGCTTTGGTTCTAAGCTGAGAATTTTTTTCAATTTCATCTAATCTGTGGACAAAATTCAATCCCTTTGTCACTTGTGTGTAGTATTTYAATTTGACATACTTGTATYATGACTGATGTTTTCCATGTTTCCATTCTCTGTTAGAAACAGGCCGGATTGGTGGGATATGAGAAAGATTTTGAATCACTTTCTCAAAGCTCTTTATAGAAATGCATTTCAACCAATMACTGTGAATGTTATTACATAATGTTTGATATATAAAGCGTGCTCTGATTGGCTGACCATCATGTTTATGAGGACAGAGACACAGCTTACAGGCAAAATGTGTTTTTTGCTCGAAGAAAAGCAGAACAATTTTATAAAAGAGCTATAAAATGACCACTTGAATAGCTGTCCTCTGATATAAACACGATTGGAGTTTCAACAACACAAGAGAAGCAAGCTTGGAAACATACGCCATTTTATATTTCGTAATCATAAAATGGGATGAAATAATTGAAATGAGAAAAAAGAAATAACAAAAAGAAAAGGGTAACCCTTACTTGTTCTGATATTCTCTCTTYACTTCATCTGAAGTCAAGCTAAAGAAGTCTTCAGGTAATTCAAACTGCATAGTCCTAGATGTAGGTTTGTATATCTTACAGTTTCTATCTAATGTGCCTTTGACAGGCTGTGTGTCAGTCAAGATGGACTTGTAGGTCTGCAATGTGTCATGGTCRGCAGCCTTGTCAGCAGGAATGATATAGAACTTTTCTGTTTTACCTTCAATAAATTTATTAATAAATCAATGAATGGATTGTCAATCATTACAGAATTAGCATGTTCTTAATATTGACATGAATAATAATGATAATGACGAATACTAAATGGGCACCTTCTACTTCAAGCTCTTTATCTTCAAATCCGCAGCTAGCTATGAACTCTACTGAACCAATTACAGGTGCAACTCTCTCCTAAGAAATAAAAAAATGATGCTAGTTACAATGCCTAAAACAGTTCCTAGCAGCAGAAAGGTGAGTGTGTCAATTTGAGATAGAAGTTTGCTTGCAATGATACTCTTGTGCCTTTTGTGAACAAAACTATGTCTGTACGCTCATTGGCTAACTGTCTCACTTACAGTAAATGCAGAGCYGATATGGTGCTYGATGGGAACCCTGATAGTTCCATTAATATTTGTACAAATTCAATTAAAATGGTAAAATACCTGAAATATTTTATTACTTTGCCTTATTTTCATAAACTTTTCTTCGCCAGGATTCTTACACACGTTATCAATATATCTACAAGAAAACACTTTGAATTTATGTATCAGTAGGTACACCCCTAAGATATCACCCCTGTACCATTTGTAGGTACACCCCTAAGATATCATCCCTGTATCATTGGTAGGTACACCCCTAAGATATCACCCCTGTACCATCTGTAGGTACACCCCTAAGATATCATCCCTGTATCATTGGTAGGTACACCCCTAAGATATCACCCCTGTACCATCTGTAGGTACACCCCTAAGATATCATCCCTGTATCATTGGTAGGTACACCCCTAAGATATCACCCCTGTACCATCTGTAGGTACACCCCTAAGATATCATCCCTGTA